TGATTTTCTGTGCTATGTCCATTTGATCCAAAATTTCTTCCAGCAGTGAACAACACACTACAAAGAGGTGTCAGGGAGGAGATAATCTTCTCTTAGGGAATTAGAAAGAGAAGCCTCTTTTTTTTTTTTCCCACCTAGTATGTGAAACACACGAAGCTGTGTTACATTTTCAAACTCAATACCAATGAGGTAGACATGGTATGACATCTGGTAGAGAAGACTGGGGGATGGAGAGTAGGATGGGACAGGGGGAAGTGCAGCATGACAACTTCTCTGAAAACTCACTGTAGGGAAATGACAAACTGATTTAAAGTTTAAATGCCTTAGGAACATTTGACAGAAAAATAATTCAAAAACGTAAGATAATAGCACTATTATGTCTGAGAAATTGAAAGCAAAGGCAACAGCAGAAGTCAAATCTCATGTTCAGAACAATAGTGGCATGTAACACTCCCAAAGTCTCATACTCTGAAGAATGAGTACCTCATATCTCCTTCAAGTACAAGAAGCAAAATGTGTTTGGAAGTGTCTCTTGAGTCCTTAAGCTTTCTTGCCTATTTATACTTCAGTTATAAACAAGACAGTGTGTCCTAATTTAAAAAGATTTTTTTTCCTGCCAGAACAGTAAAACGATCAGATATTAAATGGAGAACAAAGAAACAGTAATACAGTTTGTTAAATACAAGTGAGACAGCTATCACATTTCTATTCAGTACTTGAAAATATGCCCACCTTTTCTCACTCTCATCGTAAACCAGCAATTTTGGCATAATTATTCTACTACTACATGTAGATTGCTAGTGTCTAAAAATTATAATCTATGTATTCATACATTTATGATAACAACTATTAGGCAAAATTAATAAGAATTCAATTGCTACTACTCACAAGATTTGACTGTTATTTTAAAGGAAGAAGCCCTGCATTGTTTCCTGATCAATTATCTCTGTTTCAGTTCAAGTGAATGTATTTTCCTATGTAAGAGGTCATATCTCATTTTAAGAGTTGTCTTTCAAAGCTAATGAGTGCATGCATAGAAGAAGAGTTAGAAAAAGAGAGGATAGCATGCATATGCTTCTAGATACTGTACTTTCACTGAAAATACTCTTTGAATTGGAGTGTCCGATGTAATGTAAGGTTTGTATGAGGTTATTGCAGTTCAAGCGTGCTCTTAACTAGACAACAAGTACCTTATCTGTTGATTTCTAAATTAACTTTTGATGGAATGGTGAATTCACTTCAAATTCTTTGTCCTTGTGTCCTTTTTCTTCAGGATTAAACTTTACAGTAGAGAGTAAATCCAGCTTGGACTGGAGACAGAGATCAGTGATATCTGAGATGTTAGAAGCCAAGACATTATCTGTTGTTGGAGAGTGGAGTAGGAATTGTAATCCTTGATCATTCTGTGCCAACACATCACAGAGTCCTTCCTTGCATAAATGTTAAATTCTGCTTTATAATATATCGTCTTTTTATATCTCCTATCCCACTGGCTGACTGCCTTTTAATTTTACTGCCTAGCATTTAGAAAGACTTTCCTAGTACATGAACAGCCTATACTGTGGCCAAAGCAAAGGTCTATTGCACTCATAAAAACAGATCTAGACTAAGCATGATTTAATAAATATTAGGTTATTTTAAACTTAGACACAAGAACAGTAAATAATAATAGGTATAAAAACATTTTTGCACCCCGTAGCCCTGTAAAAATTGTAATGCTTCAGAGAATAAGCTTCAAGACCTCAAGCTAACTCTGCAAGGCCCCAGCTGTGGTCTGTTAAGAGCGTTACCAATTTGCTGTGAGAACTTGCGATGCAAACTGGAACCCGTTACATGGTGTCTCTTGGTAGGATGTACAATTTTGAAAGTATGGAGTATTTAAGTGTTTAAAACATGGATATATCTGAAAAGCAGAAGCTCCAGAACTATAAGCAACCTGCTCAAGAACAATTGCTGATCACTGAAAACATGAAACCTTTAAGAAAATGAGAAATGACTGAGTAGGGAAGAAAGAGCCAGGCAGTAGGACAGGGCACCTGCCTCAGCAACTGCCTTGAGTATCCCACAGCACCTCTGCCACCACCAGAAGCCTAGGGCTGAGAAGTGTCAAGAAACTTAGACATTTTCACAAAGGGAAAGATCCCAAGTATGTTACCCACATCAGTCTACCACATGGAAGGGCTCTGGAGCCTGCTTCCTATGCTGGTGATGGCGACCAACGAGGGTTTGGGACCTATGCTGCAGTACTGTGTGCTCACAGCAGGTGTTGCATATGGCTCATAAGGACTGACTGCTTTGAATGTGTAGTAATCTCAATTAAAAATGAGTAGGGATTAAGCATTAGCATGAAGGGTGTTAATGAAAGTCAATCCAGTTAAGTTTTAATTTGGAGTTCAAACTGACCAGGTTTATCAGTCTTATAAACATTACAATGATATTTAGGTGTTTGATACATCCTTATACATATATTCAGTTGCTGCCATATCAGTTTGTTTATTAAAATTATTCTTTTCAGTGTTTTTAGCCCTACATACTGTACTTTTAAAACCAACATCTGCAAGATCTTATTTCATATCTGAACTCAGTCTTCATATTGCAAAGATACACAAGCCAAGTCTCATTTCCTTTTTTTCTTAGAGCTACAGCAAATATCGAGGCATCTGAATAAGCCCTGGTCCAGAGTTAGGCTGACTGAACATGATTGGACGTAAGAAACTATGACATGATAAATTGCCGGACACAAGAGATAAACAAGAGGAGAAGATGCTAGAAGTTATAGTTAAGCACTCTGAGGACTGCCAGGGACACTTGAGTCTCAGAGGTGGTTAATGGGAAGGTGAGAAAGGGCTGAACATCACAGATAAATGGAGGGGAGCACTGCAGACCTCTGGGGAAGAACAGCCCTGCAGGATGAACAGCACCTAGACAGCCTTGTTAGTTGAGCATGTAATGCTGAGATTACCTAGGTGGCAGAAAAAGAAATACCAAATTTGGTTATGAATGTAGCAAGATGAGCTCAAATGAAGAAAATAATTATCAGAAAATAATTGCTTGTGACAGGGCTGGAGTGCAGAATGGTGGAGAAGAGGAAGGTAAAGAAGTGGGAAAAGGGGCAATAAGATACATATATGATGTGTTTGGGGGTGTCCAGGGATATCTCCTGTGCTCCACTGCAGCTGGAGGAGGATAATAAAGCAAAGTTGTTGCAATCATAACACAAGTATTAATCCTGCTTCCATGATCAGGAGGAGCCGGGCTCAATGGAACGGAGTCCTTTCCCTTGTTAATAATGAAAAATGTAGGACCCACGGACTGAGCAACCTGGTATCACACTGTCAATACCTGTTGCAGGTCTGAAAACACCAGCTAATCACTTTCTGACTGTTTTTGTCTTCTCTGTTCTAATAGATGTCTAATACCGGAATTTTACTAGATATTCCTCATTGAAATTCATGTTTCCTGGATACGGTAATCTGAGATACACGTGGCATTCTAGGCATGCTTTACAATGATAATTTATATTTTTTCCTTTCCCATTGTACCTACTTGAATTTGTTTTAAGTATAGACATAAGATGTTTAACTTTTCAACCAGTATCTCAGCAAAAACCAGAAAATCAAGGGTATAATAAAATATAACATATGGTGATCTTCTGATATCCATTACAAAGTTAACACTTGGGATCCTGTTTCTGCCATAGCATGAAAGCTCTTCCAGATACATAATTATTCAAGAGTTAAGTAGTTCTGAAATTTCTCATGTCAAAAATCAAGTTACTATAAACTCATCTAGGCTTCTTTCATAATAACAATTGTTAGAATAAGAGTAAAGCATGGAGAGAAGAGGAAATGGATAAATTCTCCTACTATCTATGTTTCAATTAAAGATAATGAAGAGGTTTTAAGAGACTAAAACTCCTGCTCTGAAGGACAATGAGTATGAGGGTACATTTTCCTTGAGAAGGTCTTTATTTACGATCTGGTCATATTGATCTTTCACCAAAATCCAGTTGTCTTACCTTGTCCTGGAGTGGTAATTACAGTAAAAGAGGAAGGAGGTGAACACATATTTACAGCTAGTGAACTATATGATAGACTTCTTACTCCAATTTCCAGAACATTTTGTAGAAAAATTTATGGTGAATCATAAGTAGTCGTTCATAATATGTCACAAGCAAAAAGCATATATGCTACCTTCTCAGAGCACTCACTAGGTCACCTTATTTATCATGAAAACACCAGCTGGTGAATTTGTGACTCAGACACAAAATTCAAAATTTGTTTACTCTAATTCCAAACTTGAACTTTTGACTGTATTGCTTGTTTGTTATTAACACAATATAAACCCCCACAGCCCCGACATTTGCTGAATAGGTCAGAATCTCTCTGGTTAATTTGTCATACTTCAATGAAACTATCGTTTTTTCAGTGTTAGCATGCAAAACTAAGTTGCTTTTGTAAATGTACATCAGCTTTCTCCAGGTTCACAAAGCAGAAACCTTTGGCACATGGGGAACATTTTTTTCAGCCAAATAATTAATATTTGATATCCTCCTGGGTTAAGTGAGCTTGGTATGAGAAGAAATATAAAATGTTTGCAAAAGTCTGTGAAGATCAAGGCATAGAACCAGTAAAATAAGATTTTTATTAGTAGATTTATAAAAAATATATTTCCCCATGTACCTAAGACAGATATCTATTCTGTATGCTATGCTTTGACCCTTCCAAAGCATAAGAATCAGACACTGCACTGAAGTCTTTGTATAATACATTAGATATACATACTACCTCTTCCCAAATCCCCTTCCTCAATATTACACATTAATTTCACTGAAATAAATAAATAAATGTTTGTGTTTTCAAAGTTTTTAATTAGAAAAGTGAATCAGTTGTTCTGTACTGTAATCAGTATATCTGAACATTTCCTCAACAGTTAACCCCACACGTACAGATTAAACTTCTGCTGCCTTTTAAAATCAAAAACAGCAAAAGATTTCCCACCTTTCAGTGTCCTTTTTTCCCCATTGAGAAAATGAAGCAAGGCCTTAGGGTAAACAGTATAAATCAAAGAAAAAGAAACTAGTAATTTGTTTTCCAGTACATACTCCTGCATATTCCATAAGTACCTGAAAAAAAAAAAACTGTAATAGTAATATGGTTTTCTTAAATGACTAACATTTCTGGTTGCTCTTCCATTGAGAGCAAATGTAGGAGGACTGGTTTTTACACTGAAGCGCCCACTGATCCTACCTCCCCTTGCTTGAAAAGTCTGTTCTTTCTTTTTCCATGTGCCCTTCTGTCCCATGGTTTAGTTTGATGCTGACTTCCTACTGTAGAAAAGGAATAGAGTTCAGTGCAGTAAGTATTGTTCTGGTTTCTTGAAAGCTTTTTCTCCTCCATTATGGGACATAATAAAAAGAGTCTGAAAATTTCTAATTCTATGGTAGCTGTAATGTTTCCTTAAATTAATACAGATTTTGAGGTGGTGATTGTTTGTTAATTTAAGTGGCTTTGGCCTCATTAGAATATAATGGATTTTCAAGGTTAGTACTGTATCATGTAGGTAGTAATAATAAATAATTTCCTTGTCAGCAGGGAGTCAATGAATATTTTGGGACTCCATCTGCAGACTATTTGGCTAGCAGGAATGCACTCTACATATACTTTGCTATTGATGTGCCTGTAAAACTCCTGTTAATTATAATGGGGATTTATAAATGGACATCAAAGGCCAGTTTGTGAGCTCTCTGAAGCCCTGATCCTGCAAAGGCTTATAAATGTGTTTAATTTTGCACACTGTTAGTAGTACTGTTGAAATCGATGTGACTTACTATTAGCTACATGCTGAGTGTTTGTAGGATTGGAGACGGGTGGTGATTTGATACAGAACTTACTTAACTGGCTCCACTAAGTTTGCTTGTTGTGATTTGAATTAAAATTGCAGTCAGAAAGCTGTGATCTGAAGGGGACATGCAATCCTAATTCTAAATAAATTCAAGATCATTGCAGAACTTGACATTGAAGAAAAAACAGCAGAGCTGTGTGCAGCTGGACTGTGTATACCATCAGTTATGCAAAAGTAAAATCATATACAAAACTTAATATGGCTTTACAAAAAGGTCATAAAAATATCAGTTGAAAACCTCTTGGTTCTTTTTTTTCACGAGTGTCATCCAAAATTCTCTTTTTAAATTGAAATGTACTCCTAAAATTTAGTAAATCTTTTCCTGTGAAATGCATTCTGTGTTGCAGTTTTCTACAGAACAAAATTGTAGCGTAATTTGGTCAGGAGAGTCAGTAAAAAGATCAGAACTGTTCACATAAAGAATATGACCACTGCTTGCCACAGAATACAGAAACTGTACTACTTAAAAGCCCCAGCCAATCTACTTATATGAAAAAGATGATGTTCCAGATGATTAAAAAAAAAAAAAGAAAAAGGAAAAATTAATGAAAGAAAATGCATGGGACTGAGCAGAAGTATTCCTCTGCTTCTCACATTTTAGAATCAGGGACTTCAAAAAATTAAATCTCGTCTCACATAATAAAATCCATGCAGGAGAAATCTAAGAGGGCTTCAATTTCTCACACAGTGGAGGCAAGGCGTCCCTTTGTCCTTGCTCGGTTAGTGCATCCCTGTGCTATTTGTCTTTGTCAGACCTGTGCATTTGAGTACCTGCACTCCAAAGTCCCAGTTTGGGCTCTGCTCCTGTGCTAAATGGATGCGCTGTAGGATATTGACTACTGCGAGTTTGACAAGGCTGCCCTTTTGACAAGGTGAAAGAGGTCATTATATTCACCTCTGGGATGCAGCCAATATAAAGCTCATTCTTAAGGAGACACAATGTGTTCAGAAGCTGAGCCACAAGTCCAACAGCCTCCTGGATACTGCTTAAGAAACACAGATTTTAAAAATTACTACAAAGTAGTCAGGGTCACCCAAATATGATAGGAAACAATCAATACTGTTTATTGCTCTCTGTAGTATAATATCTGTATGTAGGACAAATACAGGAGACGTATTTGGGGGTTTCTGTGACAAACAAGAGTTGCTGTCTGAGGGGAAATTCATGAATGCCAGAATGTCAGCCTGTCCACAGGGGAGATGAAAACATATGCAAATGAGCAAACCTCCACAAACCACTGCATTTCTTAATCTTCTTCATCTGTCCCACCCCTTTTTATGGTTAAGTGAGTTATTGTAGCCCTAAAGCTGTAGAAATCCTAGCACAGTTGCCACTAGAGACTAGGGCTGAATCCCAATGAGTGGAAAGCACTGATTAAATGACAGAACAGTCTTTTCCATTCCAGTAACTCCAGTGGTCAGGCATTGTGATAGCAAGGACTTCAAATGATATTGAGCTAAAGGAGCTTTCATACTCATTATCATTCTTTGCATATTAACCCACAAGGTGGACCCTGGGCTTCATGTCCTCCTTAATGCTCTCTTCAGGCTGAACAAAATTAGGAGAATTTCACTAAAGAATCCCACATGGTGCCAAGGAACCAAGCTCACTTTTACAGGCCACTGACAACTGAAGTTCTGTTCAAGGAAATAATTTTGATGCCCAAAGGACAAAGCTGACTCAAACACAGCAAAACATATATTATAGCTGCAGAAGCTTTATGCTGCAAAAAAGCTCAGAAACACAGATAAGTGAGTACTCACACAACCATGGGACCCTTGAAATATTTGTGAAATAAATACTGAATTTTAAGGAGCTTCTTTGCCTACCTGTTATTTACTATTTAGTATTTTTCTGCATAAAAAAAAATAATCCAGACCATCTGTAAAAGTGCATAAATTGTCATCTGGATCATACCTCTCCTGTAAGTCCTCAGGAAAACTGATTGTTTCTGAGAGAGGCTGCAAATCAGTGGTTCAGATGCCTAAAATCTTCAATATGTATTTATTATCAGAGATTTCTATTACCTTGTATTTGTGGTTATTTTTGGCAAAGTATGGCACATAATCTATCCATAATATCTCTATAATAAGTCTAAATAATCAGTGCCTAAAAGCTGACTGAATTATATTCTGAAATAAACATAGATCTGACAGTGCATTGATCTATGTGAGACCCAATATAATCTACACCACAAAATAGGATGCAGGCTTCAATGAAGCAGAAGTCCTTGAGTTTGACCCTACTGAAAGCAAATGTGGGATGAATTCCAAAGATTCCTTCTAACCTAAATTATCCTTTGATACTGCTTTCTTAAGAAATTGACCACAAAGGTTTTCTGCTACCAGAAATGAGCAAACCTCCACAACCCACTGCATATTTCTCCCTTATTTCAAAGGCACATCTGAACTGGAAACCTGCTGTTGGCACTCTGCATAGCAATGAATTGATGTCTGTGTGGTGCTGGATGCTGACTAACTGTACATTTGTCAGTTGTGGGTAGGTATATTCTTACCTTTTGATCAATCCCTAATAATTTTATTTCCCAGATCCTTTCCATTTTATTTCCCTCATATTTCATTTGAACATCTGTCTACACCTAAGTCTCACATTTCTGTATGCATGGGCATTGACAGTCATTTGCAAGAAATACGTATATTTAAAATGTCCTCTATCTTTCTGCCTGTTTTGCAACAGCCTTCCCAACTGGATCTATGCAGGCTGCTGTCAGAATATCTTCTCTCACATTGTTTAGTATTCAATTCGCTGCTCGTTGGCTTAATCCTCTTCACTCTCTTCTATTAAAAAGGGATTAAGCATTTCTAAAAATAAAATAAATGTTTGAAAGTTTGAAAAGGTGATGCAAGTAACTGTGAGCACCTAGTATTTTAAAGAGTTCAAACATTCTCTAATTAAACTCCAGTGCCAAGGAATGTTAAATGATTCTAGGAGTCAAGCTCTTCTGGGGCTTGTAAGTACTCATTGATACAGCCAAGCTGCACACTGGGACTGGAAGAACAGCTATGTCCCTACATTCTGACAGGAAGAAGGTTGGAAAGTTAGGAACAGACAATTTTTGAAAAGTGACTTAATGGAAGATGGACAGAGTATTGAGCTGAAAGTTCAAGCCCATTCTCCTTCCTTTAAAATAAGCCCTGCAACATATTGCTCCAAGCTTATTCATTGCTGATCCCAATGGAAACAGATATGCTCAGCAGAAAATTCTGGAAAACTTCAAACTTTATCTGCCCACTACAAATTAACTTCTTTCAGACAATAATCCTTATTTCTGCCCGATTTTGTTGGAAACATACTTACTACCAATCCCCAGAGAAAGTGAAAGCTTAGAGTATTTACTTGGGCTTTAAAAGAGACTTTTGGAGATGGCGGTAGACATCTCTTCTTCCCACCAGATATTGGAGGCTAATGCTGTTACACAACTGTAATTGCTCTTATTCTGCACACCCAAGTTCTTGTGTTACACATGCTCCTCTAACACAGAAATCCTTGTTACAGACAGGGAAAACTGAGGCAAGAAAGGTGATGGTCCAATATATGGGGGATTCCGTCTGGTTCCAGCTGTTTGTACCTCAGTTATGCACCTACTTTTTTCTGCAATTTACTAATCCCTCATTGGTGTTGAAATGAAACAAGGTTTTCATAACCTCAAGGAAATACCATGTGGTTTTATTTATGTTTTATTTATGTACATAGATAAATAGGTAACAAACACACAGTAGTTAAACTGAAAATTAGTAATACAAAAAGAAAAACCACAAGCTTCTCAGCATTAGAGAGTGCTTTTCTCTTCTTTCATTTGAGGTATGCAAAATTTAAGATGTGCATTTTTTAGATACAGAGAACACTCTCTAATGCATAATTATAACACAGAATAAGGATTACAAAAGATTATGAGAAGGAATACAATGAGAAGACGATGGCTTAGATTTTTATGCTAGTGAAGTGTAAAAGTCAGTGGATGATCTGTCCTGGTTTCATTTAAGACCCTTAGCTGAAGCTTAAAGAATGTGATAAGGCATCCATAGGAGGCAACTTAAAACTATATTTCTAAAGAGAAATGATTTAAAGCTGAGTGACTTAAGAACAGCATCAGCTAGAGAGAAGTTATAAAGACCTAACTAATAACAATGAAGTTCAAAAAAAAAGGAGAATGTGGAAATGAAAGAGCATGCAGACAAGGCCAGTAAAAATGTTACATGAGATCATCCTAATGACTGTGAGGTCACTGAAAAAGCCATAATCTGTTTGACAGAGTTTTTAGAGAAAGAGGCAGGCTCTGAGAAGTACTTTTGAATAGTTAACTAACTTGAGTTAGCCAAACTGAATCTTTCTCTTCTGGACAAAATACTTGTGGTAAGATTTTGATTAGTTGTGATTTACTTCTGTCTTTTAGATATCTTAGAACATTTGTAGTCACCTCTGTTTTGTCATTAAAATAGATAAAAATCAGAAAAGATTCAGAGGC